ATGTGTGTGTGTGTTGGGGTGGCTGGGTATTCTTGTGTATGCCTGTACAAAAAAGTCGTAATATTGTTAATAGTTTGTGCGTCTATGTCTAACGATGACTGTGTATCAAGCGTAGTTATATAATATAATATATGCGTATATGTGGGTACTTGGGAGCATAATTATTCTCATTTTCCTTCCCATTGTCCTTCTTCAGATTTAGCATTATTGTAATCAGTGTGTCCATAGTTCATAACAAGAAATTTAAATTCGACAAAACGTTTTAAAACTCATTATTGTAACTAAAAAATGTCATTTATCTTCTATTTTTACAGCCAACAGACCCGACATTGCCTGCTATGCATCGACATCTTCCCGCCATTTTGAACGTCCAGCATGCACTGCGGGCGGAAATGGTGAGGGCAATGCCATACCTGCATCCAGGAACCTCGTCTGCCAGCTCCCACTCCATGCCTGGTTCCTGAACTGTGGTTAGACGTGATGGCGTGTAGAGAGATATTCTTTCGCAGTGTAAATCCTCGACATGCATACTATGAAGGACCAACCGCTTAAAGGAAAAGGCAAAGTTTTGACATCTTCGGGAAAGACCGCAGATGATGATGACATATGTGAGACATTGTGGTGAAATCAGGCGCTGGTCAAAATCAAAGAAATCGGTGTTTTCCCTTCCATTTGATAATTTTCATAGATTGTTTTTGTTTTTAGACTCAACGCCTGTTAGGTCCTTTTAAAAACACATTTGTTGTCACCAAACGTTGGCGGCCATTTTCTCACTAAGTAAACCAATGAAACCAGGCAACTCCCACCTCCCCTAACCTCAAATATCTCGACTTCTATTTGAGATAGATAGGTATTTTGTTCACCGAAAGCAAGACAACTGAACAAGCTTTAAGATGATACCAATAACTCCACATGCCCAAAAATTTAGGTGCGCCTGATTCCACCGTGTCGTGACACATATTGAAATATTTCTTAAGGTGCGGGGTGTACACTTTTACTCGTATACAAAAGAGGAATTGGTACATATCATCTGCTTTTTTTTTACTTAGAAAACCTCAGAAATGTATGCACTAAACAACAGCCTATAATGTACATTCGGAAGGACAACTACGCAAAGAGTATAGACACCTTAATGTGGTGTTTGTCAGCGGCTGAAATCAGTTACGAGGTGACCGACAGATGAATAGTAAATGCATGTATGTGAAAGACATAATAGCTGCTTTACATTTATTTCTTTTTTGAAATTCTGCTGATTAGAATTTGTGTTGAATACAGAATAAAAATTCATTTTTGAGACGAACTTGTGCCATAAAAACTCTAGCTATACAAAGCATTTGCTTAGTCCTTTGTTAGACTTTCATGTCTGATATTATGTGGTACTATGCGAAGGCTAAAAAAATAGATTTTGACCAAAAGATCTAATCTTAAAGTGTTTGTTTGCATGAAAAATAACAAAATTCAAAGCCAAGTCGCATTGTTTTCGTACCTTATTTATAAAGTTTGCCATTGTTTGATGATAAATTTAGTCAATACTCTTGGTAGCTCCGGCGTCCCTAGTAACAGCTCCCGCAGTTTTGCGGTTAGACGCCCTGCTGTCGCACGCAGGAGACCAGAGTTCGATTCCCGAATGGGGCGAATTTTTATCGAGTGTCTCGGTCTTTCTGCCAGGATTTTGTATCCCTCTCAACCCAGTTGGTCCTGACAGGAAGTTCGCCTGCTAAATGATCTAAATTGTGTCGATGGTTGACTAAAAACACCTACATCGATGTTTTAAAAACTATCTGTAACTGCAATTTAAAAGGCACCACTCGGTAGTGACCACGTAGATATTCTGTATCCATTAGTTGCAAGAACTGTGCACCTTAAAAACTTTTGGCACTTTTATCAAAGTGCAACTTTAAAAATACTGCGTTGTGAATGGCGGTGTAATCATTGTTCCACCACATATGAAGATTACAAGGGGAAAAAGACTGGCAATGTCCAAAACCACAGTCCTTTGGTCTGAATCCCGATTATGCAACACAATAATAACATAAAAATATGAAAACTGGTCAAAAGAACATCTAAATTAAAAATGAATATTTCAGAGGCAGAAAAAAAAATCTTCATAAGAAAGAAAAAGGTGGTCGCTCTCGAGTCTCGAGCCGAACTACTGACCAAGGGTCAAGTCAGGGCACGTTACAGAATTTGAGCAATGATCTATGGGCATCAGTTCGACGGGTCATTTCAAGAAACCCGTATGTCACATTTTCCTAAAATTCAAGGGTTTTGTTTTGTTTTGGGTTTTGTTTTGGGTTTTGTTGTTGTTGTTGTTGTTGTTGTTGTTGTTGTTGTTGTTGCTGTTGTTGTTGTTGTTGTTTTTCGTGACCATGTCTTTCTTCGTCGAGGGCCGTCTGTAAATAACGTATTTACAATCCAATCCTCAAACCGGAAAGACATGTGACGTTGAAGATCTGCAGTCAAAGAAAAGCAAACTAATATTGTCGACTTGAGACAAACGTACGGGTCTCTTGAACAGAACTGACGAGTTTTTTAAGCGAAATATCTTGTCAATTTATTAGTGTTTCAGCGCTTAATTAGATGCTTGCGCTGTATGCTTCCCAGGAAGCCGAGGATGTTTCTGAGTATTCCATTGGGGAAATAATAACATAGTACATTTATAAATCGTATTGAACTTCTTGTCAAGCGGGCATATACGCTGTACAATCAATAAAGTTTTATTATTATTATTATTATTACTATTATTATTTATTTTTTTTATTTTTTTTAAATTATTATTATACTATTATTATTATTATTACAAAACACCGCATTATAATTAATCATTGTGACATCACCAGTTTTCCCCCGTGTAATCTTTAAATGATGACCAAGAATAAATAGGAAAAGAGTGCAAAAATTGGTAGGCTCTTTCATGCTGAGGATGAATGCACCACTGCGATTTCAACCGACACTGAACTTCATTGAGACCCACCAAAAGATGTCGAGACGGAATTTATCACAAAGATTGTGAATTTGAAAAAGTTTCAGCTTGCTCATTTCATATCAGATTTTGTTTGTCTTGTTTTTAGTTTGTTTAATGTTTCTTTTTGTGAGATGTACTTCAGTGACATATCACTGGCGTTTGTGTTGAGGCGGTTTGGGTGCTTCTCCATATCGCGCAAAAGATTGAAGGTGGGCGGTTGGCGGTTGGCGGTTGGCGGGTGCTCTGGTGTGGTTTGCTCCTTCTTTCCTATCAAACATCTATCGTCCTTATCTCCCTTCTTCTTTTTTATGTTTGCTACTCTCTTGTAACACCTCTAATCTTCTGGTGCTCATATGACCTTATGCAGTTGCGAGCGCCGTAAAACCTCTACTAAAACAAACAACAAACAAAAGATTGAAGTTGAATTCTCGCATGATGGGAGAGGGGGGGAGGGTTATCGAGTATCTCTGTCTATCTTCTGGGATATTGCATCCTCCATCTCGGGCAAGTTGGCCTTTATGATAGGCAGAGTCGAAGCCGCCGGTCCCTTAAACGATAAAAATTATCTACGTGTGTCGATTGTGATGTGAAACTGCGACATAATATGCTCTGCTGAGCAAAATACCATTTCGAAGGTTGGGCACTTGACCCACGCTAAGAGTAAAGAAGACAACAACAAAAAGCGGACAATCGATTTTTCATGGATCATAGATAGATGGTAATGTGTGTTACAGTTCTCTTAGATGATAATAATGCATCTCGAAGACAGCAAATGAACAGTAAAAGGTTCCTCAGAGAAAGAGGTAGTAAGTGTATGATTGTAAGTGTGAGTCTGTCAATGTGTGTGTGTGTTATGTACATGTATGTGGGTGTGTGCGTGTTTGTGTATGTGAGTGCCGAGTGTGTGTGTGTGTGTGTGTGTGCGTGCGTGCGTG